TCGATTTCTATGGTACCCCCAAAGCAAGCTGGATGTTTGGGGACAGCCGGAGGCAAATCCAAAATCACCACCTTCAAACACCGGGTCGTAAAAGAGGAAGGGGGGGAAAAAAGGAATGACTCTGCTTATTGCACCGCTCCACTCTTCCTCCTCCTCCTCCTCCTCTTTGGTCTCAGGAACGCAGGACAAGCCCTTTTCCCCGCATTCAAGGCGTAGCGGCGCAAAAATAATGTGAAGGACACCCCGCCTCCCCTCGTTCCCTCACCTGGCATATCGTCTTCAAAATCCATGTCGTCCTGTCCCTCGTCTTCATTACTCAGCGACCCCGGCATCTTTATCTCATAGCCCCCAAACCCCTTTTAGGCTGAGAATACTGAAAGTTAACCCTCCAGACGCCGCAGCACAGTCTCTTTCTTCACCCTAAAAGAACTCGCTCAGTGGATTTTTTTTTTTTAAAGTCTTGCAGTCAAAACAGGCTTTTTTTCTACAGGCTAAAAACAAAATACAAAAATTAACATTTATATTCTTTTCCCTACAGATCTATATCCAGGTCTTCCAGTCTGAAAAATAAGAAAGACAAAAATGGAACACACATGCCCAGATTGTGACGTCTGGTCTGTTGCCATGACGATCCATCCCATAGTTTCTCCACAACTAGTTAGTCATACTCTCCTAGTTACTACTTTAACCAGTACTGTGGGGGGGAAAAAACGCCACGGAGCATCTCCTTGTGCGGCTGATAGAAGAATGCATGCCAGCGCCTGTCTGCTGCACGCTTCTGCTTGCAAGTCCGGGAAATTCAGAGCCAAACTTCTGCAGCTTTCTGCCACAGCTGCTTCACACATCGCTCACAGCCGCAGCTCTAAATGCACAAAAAGAGACGAGTAGAAAATCATAGACATTGATGAACGGTCGTGTTTTAGCACGCCAAGACCGAAAAGAAATATTCCACTTTAAAATGTTTTTGGAGCACATAAAATCAAGGATGTTTTACGTCCTGATTTCCGGTCGTTCGTTGTCTGTCGCTACAGCAGGTGCACAGCGGTACATCCCTCTACGGAAGCCTAGTTTCAGGTTTATCTAACTTATCAAACTACACAAAAAATAAAATAAGTGGAGACATTTTACAGTGATATTAATTTCTATTATTAAGACCTGAATTGCCTTTCTTAACTTTGTTTCTTACTGATTTTTTTTTTTTTTTTATTTGGCCTTAAGTGAGCCAAATAAGTAATCAAAATGATTTAACTCGGACAAGTACATTTATATGCAAACTATAAAACAACAGATGTTTTATTTATCTGATTTGTGAACTTTCCCAGTAGACTGTCAGAATATTTCCAAGGTTCAGATAGATTGACGAGAGCATGTTCCTTCTATTCATCACAGTCATGGAACAACCTATAAAAATGCTTAAACTAAAACCCCATAAATTTTTAAAGTTGGAATGCAGCTTTCTTGAGATCACTTTGTTTAAATTTCTGTAATTTTTGTTGTATTGCTTATTGCACAAGTTTTACATAGTTTGGACTTCTGTGGTTGCTAACATCTTACAGAGATTTCAAATCTTGAAGGAACTTTGTGAAATAAAGAGCTACGAAAAAGAAACAATGCAATCTGAAAAATATTCTGGACACATTTCTTTTGTCTGGTGACATTTTATTAGAGATTTTTGGTTTAATCTTCTTCCTCTTCTTCCTCATCCTGGTTGATCTGGAAGTAGCGAAGCTCGTAACTCTCCTTGGTGTTTGCCACAACCCGCAACCAATCCCTGAGGTTGTTCTTTTTCAGATACTTCTTGGTGAGATATTTCAAGTACCTAAAAGACAGAAACACATGACTTAGTTTGAGTTCAATTTAATGCATATTTAAACTCAATGCAACATTATTGTATTTATTGCAATCATGTTTTAACAGTACAAGACCTGAATGAATCACAAAAGCAATTAATTGTCCTCATAGTTGGATCAATAAGTTTTGTGTTTCACTTCAGGACATTTAGTTTACATCAAGGTTAGTTACAACATTTTTGATTGACTTCTTTCAGGCACAATGAAGAATGCTCTATTTAAGAATTGGCGCTCCAGTCGCCCTCTGGTGGCAGTGTTGTGAAAGCTTTGTGCATCTTGTTCCTTTCGAAAAAAGAAACAACATATACCTAAAAAGCAGTTCTAACGTTTGTTTTAAGTAATTCTATATTAATACAAATCTGACAAATGTCAAAACTTTCAGGTTTAACTGTCAAAACTCATAGTATTTACATGGAAGAATAGCTGACTAGCTAGTTCTTTAAAAAACTTAATGACTATATTTTGTCCCAATTTTAAAACGCTTCTCAATGCATTTTGAGAACTGTGGTTTACCATAAACTGCCACCCTCCCATAACCTGCTTGTTCCTCAGCTCATTCTGAACACCAATAAAAAGCTGATTTGAAGCAAACACAGCAAAGCAACAAATCTCATGCTCGTTTTTTAAACCATTTACAGGAGTGAAATAAAACAAGACCAATCCTTAAGCTATTTCCTCTCCTCTGGAACCAGCCCCAAGGTTCTGTCAATAAGGAAGACATCTCATTTAGTCAAAGAATAAGCTAAAACTTTCCTTCTTAATGAAGTTTATATTTGAAGTGTAGTAGAATCTGCTGAGCTATTTCTCATCAGACTGATTGAAGACACTTACCACCTTTTCTAACTTTTCTATTGTCTCCTACTACTTTCCACTGATTATTCATCTGTAGTTGTTATTGTCAATTTCTATAGATTAGTAGTTATGAACTGTTTTTCTTTTCAAAGTTACACTCAGCCTAGTTATTCTGTACAGCTGTCACAATTTCCTTGAGTGACATCAGATGAATTATTGTGATCAATAACTTCATGGTGTTTTTTATATATGACAAACCTGTCTGTTTAACCTAGAGACATGATGGAAGTTTACTCTTGTTAAAGGAGAGTTCTCCTCTTCACTGTTAGGATATGCATGCTCAGTATGAAGTAAAGTTAACATCAATGCAGTCCAGCTACCACTAGCTGCATTTCCTTTACAAATGTGAACCAAACTTTGTCAATAGTCGACTAATGTAAAAAAAGAAAAAAAAACACAAAGTCGCAATTGTGGTGTTACCATTAAACTAAAAACGCAATTAAAAACACATGACTAAGTTTGTTCAAGCAACAAGTCACTCCGAGCCATCATCCTCCAACTACTTCCTGTCTTCTTCTTCGCAGTTTGCATGTTGACCATGTGACTCATGTTATGTGAAATGGGTGTTTCCATTCCACTAAGCAATTAATCAAAAACATTGATTAGTCATATATCAACTTTGCTTCAATGGAAAGCATTCAATATGGAATATCTTTTGTGTTATATACAACTATCTTTCCACCACCTAAATACAACAACTGTCTAGACTGTGATTGTAAAGCACTGTTGTGTTTGTTTGACCACTTCTTCAGCACAACAGTGTTTTGATGCATTTTATACCTTTTTGAGAAGGGAACCTCTGAGTTCACAGCAATTTTGCTCTTGCTCCTCTCAATGGAGACCACTCCTCCACCAAGGTTTCCAGCTTTGCCGTTCACCTTAATACGCTCCTGCAAGAACTTCTCCTGCATACAAAGAGGACAAAGGAAGTAGCAAGCATCAGAAGTCAGTGAAAATAATATATTTATATTTATATTCCATATTCATGGAATATAAATAAATGGAATATAAATAATATTTGCCACTGAAAGGAGATGTGGTTTTCCCTTCAGTGAAAACAGAAGAGTATGGTAATAGCACATTGGGTTTGATCCAAATTAAGTTGGCCTATACCATCCAGCATACAGGTGTTACAAATATGTTATTGTAGTGTAAATGGAGGTTCTCACAAAGTTGGCAGCATCCATGATGCCGTCCTCCACGGGATGAGTGCAGTCCAGAGTAAACTTCAGGGTCTGCTTCTTCCGCTTTCCACCCGGTTTCCTGGCCACCAGCTTCTTCTACAATACAAACACAAATGTTTGTTTTAAACTCGTGTACCTTATGGCGGTAAATGGTAACGCGAAAGTGTTTTTTTTTTCTTTTCTTTGGGCACTTGTTAGGCTAACAACTGCTAACATTAGATGTACGTGCCCTCAAGTTTATACATTATTTAAAGCTAATAAAAAGCCTCAAACAGTCCAAAAGTCTGCGGCATGTTAGTCCGACTACAAAGACATATATGGATAACAAAGAGAGAAAAAGACATGTTCTCTCTGTACACTTTTCTACGGGACTACTACTCACTATTGGAGCCATGGCTGACACGCTGAGCTAAAAGGAAGGAGCTGCGGCTGCGCAGGAAGAAAAACACATCCCTGCAAAATCGATCGAATCACATTATCTGAAGTTGATTAAGTAAATCTCTCACACAATGAAATTATGTTTTCAAATGAAATTGCAAGTTTCGAATTTGCTGCTGGGTCACATTTTTATTTATCAGCAAGATACAAAACTGTTTATTGTATTTGAGTACATTCTCTTGAATATAAGATGAGTAATAGAAGAAAGACTGCATGTTTTTATCTGATATTTTGTCAAACATGATTGATTTTGGAGTCTACATTAGGCATTTGCAGATTACTGTGGTTGTGTTGATGTGATCTGGCTTTATATGGCACAGACACCATTAAAATATGTTTCAGAAGAATTTTACACAAAAGAGAAAAGTAAAACTAAAAATACAATTAGTAAATTACATATTTTATAGTTACTGGTAATGTAAAAATTTTTTGTTTAGTCTCATTTTACTCTTCTGTAGCACGAGGTGCAATGTCAGAAAGCTTTGTAATCTGGACAACTGCACTCACAGACAGCAGCAAGAATATTAAATGTCCCTTTTGAACTTTGGCAACATTGGGGGGCTGGCACGAGGTGTGAGTTGTCAGCTGCCTGGTGGACAGACCCCATCAGCCGACTATTGAAGAGTTTCTGCATTGCTGTCATTCCTGCTGGGGGTAGCTGATAGCACCACTGAAAGGTAAGACAGTGGCTCTCTGTTCTTTCTGCAGACAAGCCTGCTACATTTACAGTAAGTCTTATCTTGATGTTGTTCACAGTAACTCTGGTGTTGTGTATATTTTATGTAGTTACCAAATCTCTGTTCACTTAACACGTGATTGAGTGGTAAGAGTAAAAAGTTCTGCATGTTCAACTCATTTTCAGCTTGTTGTATCTATGTGCTTGCTATGTCTGCCAGCTTAGCCTCTCTTAAAATGACTGAAATATTTGGACTGTTATTTAACACCACGCCACATATGTTTTATTTCAAGTGATGAAATGATTTAAGCCATCCTATTCTCTTTGTTTGTCATTATTCACCTGTTCTGTCTTTAGATGGCAGGAGGGATCTTCACCAATGTTGTCAACCTGTTTGAGGTGGACTGTGCTAACGTCCACCCCCTGGTGTGTCACTTATGCCATGAGCAGTACAAGTCCCCATGTTTATTGGACTGCTACCATATCTTCTGCGCCCGCTGCCTAAGAGGTCGGACCAATGACTGCCGCCTCAGCTGCCCCCTCTGTGGGTAAGAGATGAAACTTTGCAGTTGGTCATGCTCAGTTTAGATTATGAGGCTTGCACTGGATACTTGATCCGCAACGTGACATATGATGGTAAACCACAAATCCTTAAATAAAGTGAAAACACTGAGTCCAAGGCCGAGAAGAGATGTTTTTGGTAGTCTACAGACATATTTCTTTGGCATTACAACCTCTGACAAGTTGCATTGGACCTTAAATCAATAGGTTCATACCTAGGTATGAGCAGTTGTCTAGTTTTACCTTCAAACATAAAGAGCCTCCCAACAAATTTTGTTATTATTTAGAGACTATTGTGATCTAAATCATGTCCAGGTATGGGTAGGTCAGAGTGGCTGAAGCAGCTGCAGGGTCACCCCACTCTCTTATTTAGCTTTTGGCTCTAACACTGAAAGGGGCGAAAAGTTCCATTAAGCCTGGTCACATAGCGAACAAAGCATACTGGTATTTGGCAGCAGTGCTGTCAGCTTAGGATAATCAAAAGCAGTCACATGATACCACAGCAACCTGTTTCATTCCTTTTATAGGGAGAAAGTGTGGTACACAGTCACCTTCAGGTCAGTCATATCAGTTTTCTCTGATAGAAGTGATAGTCAATATTAGATCAGACTGGCAAGACAGGCAAAAACAGAATCACAGTTCAAAATAGCAGATATTGATCTGAACAAAAAACAGTTTTAGGCTAAAAAAATAACTCCTATTCAAACAGCCTTTCTTGGAAAACTGTAGCTGGATAGTTACACATTTTTCCCACCTATATGATGTTATATTCCAGGACAACAAATTTCATTGTGCTGTATTTGTTGTTTGAGATGCTAACTGTTGCATTTTCACCTGTGGAGAGTTAGTCAGCACAAGCCCAGGTAATATCAATAGAAGATATATTGTCCACAGAACATAGAAGTATCAGTATGTTAGGAACAACAACCCTACAGGCATCAAATCAGTGCGCTGTTATTTGTTCTTAGAATACTGAATGCCAGTTTCTATTTTCATCTTTTTCTTCCACAACAGCTGCTCATTCGAGAGCCATGTAATTTAGCAATTCACTAATCTATTAGTGGAAGCCCAGTAATGAAAACAAGATAAAACATGTACAGCAGAGTGTTGGGAACAATTGCATCAGCGTAACTGAATCAAAACGAAGCAGACTTTGGACTATTTCAATTTAATAAGAGTGGTTAATGTTGCGAAAAATAGATACATTAGCTGGTAAATCCAATTTTAACATGATGTTAGCTCCTTTGGTGCTTACTGGTCTTACTTTGAACAAGGTTTTTGATTCACCAGTTTTTCACATATAAAATGTAATTACATTTTCAGGTAGAGCTGCATTATCTTAGCTTGCAATAATGTTTAATTTTCTAAACTATTCTTTTCCATTTTTGCCCCTATCATCTTCCTGAGTCACTCAGGTGGATAGGACTGTGGCTGTATGGCAGAGTAGTCGTCTTGCGATTGGCAGGTTGTAGGTTCCATTCCAGCTTCCTCCTGCCATATGTCGATGTGCCTCTGGGCAAGGGACTTAACCCCAAATCAGCATGTTGGTGTATGAATATGTGTGCAAATGGGTGAATGTGTAAAGCGCTTTGAGTCGTCAAAATGACTGGAAAAGTGCAATATAATTTCAGTCCATCCATTTACGGTGAACAGTTAAAGTTCCTCTGCCTGGCCAAAGACATCAGAAGGCGACTACAGTTTTAGTAAAATGAGGCAACAAAATTTTACGTCTAATCATGCTTTGGCAATAGCAAACATATGCATTGTAACACTGTCCACACATCTTGTACAGCTCTATTTTTATGCACAAATTCTTGCTCTGGAAAAAAAAAAGCTTGCTCTCTAGCAGCAAGTTTCTTTTTTTTCTACTTCCAATATTTTTATATCTTACATTTATGAATGGCAGCAAGAAATTATAAGATTAAGAAAACACTGCCAGCTATTCCATAAACCTTCCCAAGTAACCCAGACTTAAAGTATTTAAACATAAAGAACCTGTTCAGTGCATTGTACATGCTGGCTGTCAGAAGCAAATATGTAAAGAAAATGAACATTGAAATTTAATTCTAGATGTAAACCTTTATATTAACCACAATTGTCTGCCAAACATGAACAGAGCCAGCATCACATCAATTTATGTAATGTTATTTAGATTAAGGCACAATCTGGGGTGTATAAAAAGATTAATTTGTCTCACAGTGTGCGGTCTTCTGAAAGCTAAATCTTTAAATTCACAGTAAAACAGCGCCATCTTCTGGAATGCCACAGGAATGCACAGCTTTGAGTTGACATTTATCTTTATTAACTATAAGTGTTTTTGTTTTTACAAAGCAGGTTTTCTTTATATGAACTGTTTAATTACTACACATTACAACAACTTAGAATTGTTTAAGTTTACAACAAGGCTTTTTGAAAGCAATAATTCACCCAGTTTTTAAAATAAAACATGCAAATGAGAGAAAATATGGATACAATGTAACACTGGGTCTGTGCAGACGTTTCCAATTATCAGTTCATTCCAGCATTTGAGTTCAGTTCAGTTTTCTTCTTGGTAATTTTCAGTCTTCATGTCGTTTAGGCCCAACTCTTCATTCTGATCGAATGTGCGAGTGTACTTCTCCACAGTCATCTCAGGGTCCGCCTCTGGAGCGTACACATTCTGCATGTAGCTGTTCCCTGCTGGATCGTCCAGGATGACGTGCACTTTCATTTCTCCTGCCAGGATTTTCTCTATCTTCTGCCCAAACTCCTTTAGCTTCTCCAGCCGGTCAGTGGAGCTGCTGTCACCGCAGATGAAGGGGTTTTTGGAGACAGTCAGGTCCTTAATGTCTTGCAGCAGCCCCTCCAGCGTGGTGAACTTCCCACCCAGAGCTGCCATTCCCAGCTCAAATTCCAGCTCCGGGATGAGGACAGAGCATGTCTCTGACTTTAGCAAGTCTCTGGTCATGTCTGAAGCGTCAGTGACGTGCAGCGTGATCCTGGTGCCAAGTGGCTCCGTAGCTCCACCGGATTTGACCTCGTTGGTCCGGTGGCCACAGTTGTCACAGTTGGTGGCCATGATGATGACCTCCTTGAAGTGGGGGATCTGGACCAGCTTCATATTGGTGGATGCGGGCGCATTGCACTCTGGGCAGTTTGTGGGGAACACCAGGACCTCTCCTCTCATAGCTTCCAGGTCGTTCCCTGAATGCTCCTCCACCTGGTCATCCTCTGGCCGTATTCCCAGCTGCTGGTCCTGTTGGGCGGTCCTCTTGAACCGGGTCACTGTCAGAGCCTCGTCCTTTTGAGGCGCCAGAGGATTTTCCACAAAACTGTTCCCCGATGGATCCTCAATTACCAGCGTGAATTCGTGTTCAACATCTTTGAGCTTCTTCAGCTTCTGGATGAACTCGTCTATTTTCTCCGCCATCTGCGGTTCGGCAGCCCGTCTGGCAGGCTGGTCCTGCTCCAGCCCGGCTACTGCTCGGTCCAACAACCCCTCGATGGTAGAAAGCGAACCTTTCTGGGTAAAAGGAGGTATCTCGAAATCCAGCTCAGGGATCCTGGTGATCGCGCAGTCCGCCTTCACAACCTCCCGGTTCAAATCCTGCTTTGTTTTGACTTTGAGGGTGTAACGGACCCCCTGGTCCTGGATTCGGCCCGCAGACTGGATCTCGGTGTTGGACCAATCGCAGTGAGCACAGCTGAAGGAGCTGACGATGATTTCTTTGAAGAAGGGGATTTTAGTGAGGAGCATGCGGGTCGTGCCGTTTTGGTAGCAGTTCATACACAAGCTCTCTATCTCGGTGGGCTGCCACTCTTCGTCGTCCGCACTAAGATCCCTAAAAACGTTCCCACCGCGAACATTTTCCTCGGAAATAAGCGACATCTTAAACGCCGGATATAATCCTATCAGAGTGAAAACTTGCACGCTGTCATTTACTGGTAAAAGATTTCACTTGCCAGAACTTTCTGGATGACACACCGCTGAGAACACGCTTGATCGACTTCCGGGTTTTCTTATTCGGTGATTCATCTCATTTCGGAAGTCTCTGCTGCCCCCACTAGTATTGTTTTGAAACTGCTCCACAATGAACAACTTCCTTTTTAAAATTTTTTGTAAAACTGACAGCTTTGTAGATTTTCATCTTTATATAATTTTTTTTATAGAGTATCCATTTTCTTTTCATTTATTTATTTTTCAAGTGGTTTCTTCATATCAAGGAGAGTTTTCTTGCTTTCGTCGTACAAAATGCATTCCCTAAATTATTGTTTTTAATTTGACTTTTCAATTTTCAAAAATATAAAAACTTCCAAAAGAAAAAGAAAAAGATGAATATAATGTCTGAATTGTCTTGATGAACATTCATCCAATGAGAATTATGAGAATTTCTTACTCCAATGGTTTTGCATTCAAATTAATGTGCTGTCGGAAAAACATTAAAAATAAATTCTTATGCACTGAAAATGAGTAACGTAAAAAATAACAACAACTTTCCAATGAATGACTTATTTCTCCTAAGAGTTTGCTTTCTATCTGCTTTCTCTAGATACCACTCAATGATTAAAGGAAATAATGCCCTCCCACCAGAGGATCGTCTGTTGAAGTTCCTTGTGGACAACAACGCAGATGTTGAGGAGACGGTGCTTTGTGCCAACTGTGACCAAGAAAGCAACAAAAAGGTTTCATTTGCATCATTTTATGAACATTAAGACAAAAGCCCCCAAAAAATCAGTTTACAGTATTGTTGTAATTGAAAAAGTATTATGTTCTACATTATTACAAAAAATCATCTAGTTCTTTTATATTTTATTTGTAACATTTAGTCATGTTCTCCTAATCAGATGTGAACTTTGATCTCTTAATATGAATAATTATTTGTCTCTATGTTTTGCTTTCTCATCTGTACTCAGGACACAGGTCTGATGTACTACTGTAACACTTGCAGCCAGCCGCTTTGTACCACCTGCCGAGAGCTGACACACAAGGCCAGAATGTTTTCCCACCACGAGATTGTGTCGTTGGCCAAACGCACCAAAGCCAAACACAGAAAATGCTGTGAGTGCCACCTGTAATTTACTCCGCAGTAATTATAGACTAACAGGCAGAGAGCTGTGCACCCTCCTGGGCTCTGGATAGATTTCCTGCCCCATGTTAATCATATTCTTGGGCAAAATGGTTGGTTATTTGTTAAAGTGGTTCCAAACTTGTTGTTTAAATGTGTTACAACAAATATTTGTCAGTCTAAGAGTAAATTACGAGTTATATTCACAAATAACACTTTTATTGAGAGCCATGCCCTGCAATTTCTTATAAATCTTGACTTTTGTCCATGCAGCAGTTAAAACAAATTTCTCTCTGCAGCTCTACATGAGGAGCCCTACATCCTTTTCTCAACAGAGAATAAATCAATGCTATGCATCAAATGTTTCAGAGATATGCAAGTGTGAGTAAATTCATATCATGATTGTTATACTTTTGTTCCTCTATTATGAATTGGTGCAGGCAGTTTTGTTTTGTTTTTAAGTGACTATCTTTTTGCAGAGAGAGTCGTACTCACTGCATCGACATTGAAACAGCTTATGCACAGGGTTGTGAGATGTTGGACCAGGCTGTGCTGGTGAGCACCTCATGTCTGTTCTTTTACAAATTTATGATGCAGACAGCAACATGTTGTATTGTGAATTAGTTAAACTTTCAACAGTTGTAATAAAATAATGTTTAGCTGGTGTGTTTTCTAATTTTCATTAAGTATTTTTTTTTCAATACAAGTGATTTTTATGAAGATTTGAGTGCCTTCATTAACTGTTCACAATGACCTTGCCTTTTAACTGCAGGTGGTGAAGGAGCTGCAGACCTCAACTGGAGAAGCAATCCACCTGCTGAGGTCAATGATAGGGGAAGTGCGTCTGAATGTAGAGGAAGAAGAAAGTGCTATCTGTAGTCTGTTCAACAGTTTGCAGGTCTATTTCTTTATATTGTTCTTCCTTTTATTGCTCTCTTTGTTTCCTGAAACTATCAATATAAACTCTATTTATATATTTCCTGATCAATTATATGAATGGTATCCTGACATACATATTTAGAAGGGTTTATGTGTTTATAGAAATCACAAAATATTTGTTTTAATATTGCAAAACCTGAAATCAGCTGAGTTGAGAAAAAGACATAAAGAAAAAAATAAGGCACAAAACTGTTTTGAAGCATCTGAACAATTTAGTTTTCTAAATAAAACCACAAAAGATTAAATAACATAATAAATTGATAGACATTCTTGAGTAACTTTGGGGAAATTAATACCATGAATAATTTTTCTTTACATTCTCTTCTATATAAGTTTTAAAGTATTATTTTGAAGTAACATGACTCAAGTACAGTTTCTAGCTATGATACCCTCTTGTTAAAAACAATGTTTCTTTCACCATTATATTTTTAAAGAGTGAAGTAGAGTAAACATCCTCTTAAAATACACATCCTTCTTGAACCTTCCTAACATGATAACTACCCATGGTCCAAAAGTAATAAGAGGAAAAACTGTTCCCTCTTTTCAGATGTAAATTCTATTCCAGTTTTTTCTGTGGACATAGTAACCTGCACAGTGATTTCACATCTTTCTTCAAAACACAAGATTCAAATATGCCATCATTTTAGTCATTTGCAATTGCCATGTCCTCCATCTGGCTCCATTAGCGCTATTTGGCCACTGGATGTCTCTATTAATCTAAATGTTAGAAAACACAACTATTTTTAACAAATCAAGAGAACAGGGAAGTACACTGTACAATTTAAGCCATTTCTTTTCACAACCTTGAGAATTTATTAGGTACTGCAAAGCTCAAGGCCATTTTCACATCATTGTGAAGATAATGGGGGATTTTTTTCTCTTCTCATTTGACAGGAAAGGCTTGCAGAGAGGAAAAAGACTCTGCTGAAAGCAGCTCAGAGGTAAAATAAATATCTGTAAAGATGAGCATTGTCTCAATATATGTCTATGTTTTGCCACAATTGTGTATCATAGTGTTATTGTATTACTCTCATGACTTGAGTTGAGTTCATGTTTTTTATTGTTACACTTTGTTGCAATGACTTCAAAGGTGATGAATAGCACCTTATTTTTCTCAGAATAATCTGCTCAGCATCAAACACAATTTATTGGATAATTTCCATGTTTAATAATTGGAATGCTGAGTTAAAATCACTTCTGTAGAAATATGCTGTAATTTTAACAATAATATTTAGAACTTGTGTGAAGATAATAACTGAAAGTGAAGCCAGATGAAGAGCATTTTTACTTACAAAGGCTAAAGATTTATCAACCAACTGTGGCAGGAAACTTGAGGCAGCCTGCAGGCATTATAGTCTGTTTGTGTTTCCTCATTTCAGGTGATTTGGCAAAAACTATTACCTACATTATGGCAGACAGTGTTAGGCATTACATTATGAAAATATGACTTCTAAACTGCAATAAAGACTCACTTAAAGTTTGAATGAATGTTCTTTTAAGTTTAAATCTGGCTAGTTCATTAGGTTAGATTACCTTTTAAACTATAATTGGAGTTATTACTCAAGCGTACTGATATCAGGTGCTTTATGTATTCTGGCCATTCTTAAAAAACCTGCAAATTGTCATCTCTAATGAGTGAATCCAAAGCATAATCTTTAAAGTAACACCATCAGGAATTTGCTGTGTATTGAATGCCTTGTGGGTAAGTGTGTGTGACTGAATGAAAACAATTTTGAGATCCAGCAAAGTGCATCTATGTCTAAATCCATCTCGTGCTCTCTCTATTGCCTGGAAACCATCCAGTGGTTTGTGTTCCCAGAAGGATGTTAAAGGCTATTTATGTCATGCTTTGTGTGTCTGCATCTGTGCGTTTGTTATAGGAGAAGACAGATAGATTAACTCCTGGAAATACTGAGTGTGTTGTTTTTGGTTGCACCTCCTGAGCTGAATCCTCTGTGTACTGTGGCATGCACAAGTTTAAAGGTGTTGTCTTACATACTTGTGTGTGTGGTGTGTGTTTGCAGTCAGCACGAGGAGAAGGAGAAAGCATTAAAGGAGCAACTGTCTCACCTCACTGCTCTACTTCCAACACTTCAGGTGAGTTCAAGATCACAACTTGATACCAATGACGATGTCATACTAAAGGCCAAACATTTTACCACTATTGGAAAGACAACTCATCATTTACTTTGGATGGGGAATCAATACAGAAATATGACACAAATTAGAATTTAGTAAATGTAAGCAAACTTACATTTACTAAATGTTGTTAGGCCAACTTTCAATAACTCAAACAGATAATGACTCTGGAAACCAGAGCTAGATGTCGAAGGCCTTCGGTTATTATTTATGGAAATGTTCTTTCTTTTGTAGACTTTAATACTTTTTGTTCCTTCTTCTGATGTTTTTAGGTCCATCTGGTCACCTGCTCAGCCTTTCTCAGCTCAGCCAACAAATATGAGTTTCTGGATATGGGATATGTAAGTATCCTATATCCAGATTAACAACTGAAGGGTTTATTATTGCACTTAGTCAGAACAATGCAAAATGTAAAAATGGAGCAACACACCAATACAAGTTACAATGAGCTATGTATAAATATGCAGAATAAAAAAAATATACAGAAAACAGAGAAGTTCAAAACAACAATAACTTGCAGAAATAGAGAACAGACTCATAAGAAAATGAAAAAAGACCAAAAGATAGATACAGTGCTTTCTTTTAATAAATGACCTATGCTTTCTTAGCAAAAAACTCTGAAGACAAAAAGTTAACTGTTTTTTGAAGGAAGTTTTATTGGCAAGAGAAAGGTTACTGTATTTATTGGATTGAATTGGCTTTTAAATTGAGGCTGTCCATAACTCCTCATTGAGGTGAAGCAGGTCACTGAATCAAACCCGGATATTCTTGCTTGCACAGCAACTCATGGAGAGGCTGAAGAGGATTGCGAAACTCCCTCATCGACTGCGGCCAGTGCAAAGCAGCAAAGTGAGTACAAGGCACTCATCTAGAGCTAAAATGCATTGAAAATGCTGGCACACTGACTTTTTAAACAATTTGATGTTTGTCTCCTTAACAATGCAGTTTGACCTTTTTTCTTTTTAGCTCAGCACCACTGAAATGCCAACCAACTAATATAAGGTTTAGATTTAATCATAAATTTGTGTGTGCTACATGTTCATATTCAAATTCAGGTTTGAAAATGTAAATTTGACATTTGTAATGATGGGTTTTGCTTAAGGCCAAAATGCAAACAGGATTAAGATGTGATCACGGTGGGGAGAACCAAAACACAAACAGCTGTAACTTATGATAGCATTATGCATGCATTTAGAGGAAGCCCATCCATACATATAGTTAATAAATTACAGGCAGAAGGGATAGTTGCACATCTTCAAAGATGATTTTCTAAGATGAAAGCATTTTGTAAAATGTAGATTATGTGGGAAAATAGTGACTGCTGAAATCCTCTGTTATGCGGCACGTGTGCACACAGCCACAGTGCTAAAATAAATCAAAGAACATTTTTTTTGTAAACTGAGCAAAACTAAAACAGTGTAATGGTCCAGAAGTGTTTCTTTTTTAAGTTTCATACATTTTCAATGTAACCAATGTTATTTTTAATCTGTCAAAGGGTTGCATTATTCCACACATTCTTAATATCTAAGGCATTGATTATTGACTGAAAATTCCCTTGCTGGTGGAATTCCACCTTTCAGATGTTGTTCTGAAAGTTTGGAAACTTTCAGGACAAAGACCAGGTTCATCAAGTCAGAACCTGGAGTTTTGAAAATGAAAAAGTTCAAGCAAAAATAAAGCTTGCATCTGCTTGTAATTAGTGCAATCTGAGTTGTGAATCCAGTGCAAAATCAAAGCAAATGGTGCAAGCAAAACTGAAAGAAAAAAAATTAAGGAGATTGAATACTTCATGAACAAATTACGGAAAAAAACAGAAATTGTGTTTTGCCAAACTGAATTTCAAACTGTGAAAAACATAAGATGTTACTGTTTCAGCAGGTTTTTCTCTTTTATATTAAGTAATAGTTGACTGATTTGATAACTAACTCAGGGAAACATTTTTTGATATTTTGTTTTGATATTTTTAAAAGTAAAGCGACTTTACTTTTGCATAATTTTTTTTTACATTACGCAAAAAAAAGTGCCCTGAGCTGAGGTGTTGTTTTCTGTGAATAATAGACATTGTTTCTAAACTATAGAATTTTATAAAACCTTTCATGCTTCCCACATTGCTCTGCACTTGAAATAGTGCCATTTTCTGTTATGTGTTAATTTTTTGGGATTTCCCTGTTCTTTTGGAAGTATTTGTGACTGACTAACTTATTTTGTCTTTGTGCTCGTTTAGATCAATACTGAGTATAGGAGTGAGTTTGCTCGTTGTCTGGAGCCTCTGCTCCAGATAGTATCCCGCCGTCCTCCTTCTGTTGCCGGTTCCACAAGTGTTGTAACAAGGTAATATCTTCTCCTTTACATCTCTTTGCAGTGTTTTCTTCTGCTAATTGTCTGCATAGAAGTTTGTGTCATTGACATCCTTTAGGTTCTTTCGAGAAACACAATAATCTGGGCAGAAAATTCACACATATAAAGCTTCCAAGTTTACAATCCCCAAATGGTTTGCAAGTCCAGATGCAGCGGAAAGGAGGCGCCATGCTGAATCCCGCTATGTCAGTTATTTTGTCTACCTCCCTGTAAGCTTTGTACTCTGATATGTTTACGTAATTCACCTTGTTCAATGAGGGGCCTTGATTGGGAGAGCATTCCCAAATTAGAAAGCTGTGGACTTGTTGTGACCAGACAACATTCAGGTGATGAAAGAATGTATGGTTGCATATATAGATCATGGGCGGAGATTATCTAAAATATACTGACCATTTCCGGCTAGGATGTTCATTTAAAAAAATTGTTGAAATCATAAGTAGGTATAACCTGTTCCTTGTTTTTGTGCCCATCGCAGACAAACACAAATACTTTTTCCACATCAGTGTCTCTTAACTATTCACAGGTCCTTAAGCCTATCCTCTAATGCCAGCATGCTGACAACGTTTCTTTCCAACATGTTTAACGCCCCGCAAGTGCAAGACCCAAACTTGACAGGGATTGGTGTCCGGCCGCCTGAGACTATTTTTATCATAATTTCACAGAACTGTCTAGGATTCGGCTGCAGGTTGGCACTCAAGAGCGGTTGGACTGTTGATGTCACAGCTTTAGCACAGGAAAGGTTTTAAATTGGCGTCACCACTGTGAGGACATAGTCTGGGTGTGTGGGGGATGACTTGTGTGACAGTGAGAGGAGGATATATGTTTTGAACAGGTCTGTCACTGCATTAGTTCCGGACAGGGAAACTGGAGGCACAGGAGCCTAATGGATTGGAGGTAAATACTTGTTTATTTTATCACTTTTTGATTATTTGTACTAATGATGTGCATGATAAGCGACACATACACAAGCTTTAAATATCTCCTCAATACGCATTTGGCAAGATAATAGTTAAAGAATGAAGCAGAGATTTGTTTGATTTTGTTTTGAGGGCATAATCTCATCATAGATCAAATCTTTCCTTTCCACTCACCACTTTTTTGATTAACTTGCAAATGCGATGAATAGATGATAGAGTTGACAGATGAACGGGCGAATGGATTTTCCTTAGCATGTGGCAGTTTAACTACTACACCGCAGCCTTCTGCCTTCTCATAAATATTTTTTTGGCAGGTTTTGCCTCTGTCCTTTATGAATTTAAAATTCATATCTTAAAGCATCTTCTCCACAGACAGCAATGCTTTATGCAAACCAGGCAGGGGTTGATGATGGAAAGCCTGCTTGCTGACTGTATTTTTGTCATAATTTCCCTCTAAAGATCAGGGAAGTGCTGCAGGCTGGTTCATTTTAGGAACTGATGCTGCTTTACTGCTGTTATAATTTTCATCTGTAATAAAACCTCTGTGGTTATTAAATATGAAACAGAAGCACTTACGTCCAGCTATGCTTCTTTCAACATTAATAGTCACTGAGAAAGGGTTGAAGCCAGACCTGAATTTCTCACTCTTATAGCTGCAAGTTGTTTGAAATCTGGTGATATTGACTCTTTATTACAAAATTGAAATATTGCAAATCTGTTTGTGAAAATGAGATACCAATTTTTGCTTGCATTTTGATTGTCTGCTACACATAAATGTTTAGAAGATTGTGAGAAAATGGCCAGTAAGTCAGCTGACATGGAGCCCAAGACAACTACAAAGTTTTTGCTTCAGATCTTAGAATCTGTATAGCCGCCTGTGTATTCTGGTCTCTTGTGTTTCTGGTGAAATCAGTAGTGATACTGCATAGTTAGCACCAGGTAGCTGTTTCATTTGTTTAGTTCTGTTGTACTTTAATATATGTTTTTTACCCTCCACTTGAACTGCATAATTTTTTACTTTTAGAATTGTAGATTCACTGTGTTTTTGAAGGTTATACTTGGATTCTCAAAGTCTTATATCAGAGGCCTAATACCACAATCTTACAAATATTTATTGCATTTATTGCAATGCAGGAGACAACTCATTGTTACCTTTCAGCCTAACTTAAAAGCTGCCTATCAAACAAGAAAATGTAAAAATGGAACAAACTTTATGACTTATTGATTGAACAAGATGGTATGATGTTGCTTCACTGATGTTGACAGAATGAGAAAGGCTTGATATCATAGATTAAATTGCACTTACAGATGCATATTACAGGTTCAAAGTATATGTTTAAATGAGAAGCCAGGGTCTGTACTGGGTGTTTTGTGCTCTCTGCAGGCTCCAGTCCCCTCTCTCGTTACCCTGCCACTCGCCATCTCTTAGTGAGATGCCGGTGGGCTCGGTGTTTGGGCGAAAGCCGACATCTCACAGGAACATTTGCACTAAGGTCCTCCTGGCTGAAGGCAGGGAAACTCCCTTCACTGAGCACTGCCGCAACTACGAGAACGCCTACCGGGTGAGTGAAGAGTGTGAACACAAATCTCAAAAGAAAATAAACTAAAGCTGGCTTAAAAAAATGTCTTGCTTGAGAACCTTGTCAACATACACCAAGATTGCACCATGAATTCTGCTCTAATCCCCAAAATCTTGCAAGAGAATATCCAGCTATCACTTTACAGCTTTAAGGTGTAGTAAGTTTGCTTGTACAGCAGAACAGTTATCATAAGCACACCAGTAAATCCACCTCTTAATGGACTGAAAACAACAAAAAGAACATTCTAGAGTTCAAACATTCATTTGGAGGGAAATTTTAAAATGTCACAGGAGTTGAATATCACATAATCAGATTCCCTTTAATAAATCAAGATATTGTTTTTGCTTATGTTTATAAATAAGGAATTCTGTGTTTCTGATTTCTTATTCTTAGACAAAAGTAACATCTGAAAATTAATTCTCAGTTTGTTTTCCAGGAGCTAATTTTGTATGGTGAAACACAAAATTTAAGCATAATGTTTCTTAAGAATGTCCTGTTCTGCAAGTAAATTCAATATTCACTGTAAAGAGTTGTGTCACAAGCAGAGAGAAAAGGGTTTTGATTGTGACAGCTGTCATTGTGATCTGAGAACTCATATAATAAAAAATATTAGGGAAATGCAACACTGCACTTCGTTTGAAAAATACTTTAGTTATCTTAAAAGGAAGTTAAATGAACAGATTAATCAAAAATACTGACTTAAAAAAAAAAAAATCTGGGATCAAATGAGAGTCAGTATAAAATTAGCAACTTTCATTCCTTAAGATTTACTTTAAATTTTTGAAACAATGACAAAGTTTTCATATTCAGATGCACCAAAGCAAAAAGCTTTACATTCATGTTTTGTACCTGTGTCTGTGATTCTAGACTCTGCAGACAGATATTCAGAATCTGAAGGATCAGGTCCAGGAGATGCACAGAGACCTGACCAAGCACCATTCCATCATCAACACAGATAAAATGGGAGAGATCTTGGACAGATCCCTGAATATTGACAATCAAATTGCTGCTCAGTACTCCACTGTGGAAACCATGAGAGTTATGTTTGAAGAGGTGAGTATTTAAAGACCAGAGGTTTGAACTTTGTGCTTATGGTCACTGGCATTTCAAAAATGTCAAATGCACACACTTTGCTGAATTTCTGGTGTTATCCCTGAAATAATATAGAAAGATTTTTTTTATTTTAATATTAAATTAAATTGTAAGGAAACCCACACAACAGAAACATGAAAACGATCCCCATTTGCACAGGCTCTATTTACAGAATAATGAAACTGAAAATTTTTTTTACGTTGTCAGAACTCATGTTTCTACAAAAAAGTTTTGTTAAATAAAATTATTTAAAGACTTTATTAAATTGATTATAAAATCTTTTAAAGTACCAGATTCCAGGCATGGTTAAGGCAGAAACTTTTCGATTATTACTACAAAGTTGTGTAAATTATTTCTATTTAAAATATAAACGGTAGAACTTTTGTTTGACTTTAATGTGTTTCTTTCCTTCACATTATATTTGCCAACCGTGTCAGTTGTTTCCGATACACAATAAATCCATTAATGTAAATTTGTTCTTTTCTAAACAGATCTGGGATGAAACTTTGCAGATGGTGAATAACGAGCAGGAGATCTATGAAGGTTTTTGTCCAGCAGTGACAACACAAATTCACAGTTGCCTAATTCCCTAATTACTTCTCTTTCTTTTGTTGTGTAAAATCTGCCTTAATTCTTCTCTGATCTGTAGCTCAGCTTTATGACCTGATGCAGCTGAAACAGGAGAACTCTTACTTAACCACCATCGCCAGACAGATTAGCCCTTATATCCTGTCAATCGCTAAAGTCAAAGAGAGGCTTGAGCCCAGGTGTAGTAAAAGTTGTTACTATACTCATTATGTCATGACTGGATGTTTTTACCAGCATTTATTTTGCTGAAAAAAGTAGATAAATAAATCATGTGAATTAGTTACTTTATAAATTTATTTTATTTCTAATTTTTGCATTGCTTGCAAGTGTCTGCTTCTGGTTTATAGTAAATCCAACAAATTTGGATTAACAAGTTTATTTCTGCATGTTGCATTGATTTAAGGCTTCAACAGTCTTAGGTTATTTTACAGTGAGGTGTAGAATAAATGATCTGGAGTTCTAACGGCTTTGTATAAATGTATTGGTTTATTTTTAGGTTTCAGGAGCCTAAGGAGCATCTTGATGATCGCACCGAAACAATGCTGAAAATCTATGAGGACAGCACAGTGCCAAAGGACAGTCAAGACAGGTTCGGACCTAAACTTGTTGGAGATGTAGTTTTTCAATTTGTAGATAAAATTTATAGAGGCACAAATTGTTCTACTTTGTAAAGTGATTTCTTTCAAATAAAAAGATAAAGTAGATATATTGAAAGAAAAGTTAGCTATTTTGGGGTTTTCTTTGAACCAATTATTTGGACTGGATTTGTTCTAATTTTATATTTGGTATGTAGCTTTTAAATAATTATTTAAAGTATGGATTATTGAGAATATTGTGCATATTGGGATTTTAAGTAATTATTTATATGGGTTTTTTTTGTCAGCGACAACCACAGTTATGTCACAGATCAAGACAGAAACAAGAACAGCCGCAACCTGATGCTGGAGCCAGCAGAGATTTCTGCGAAGAGCAGTCGAGCTGGCAGGCAGCGGGGCCCTGTGGAGACATCCAGCAAAAATGACATTCCTTCGTAAACACCATGTCATTTCTTTTCTGAACTGGGTCCCTTCTCTAGTGGAACAGCATGCCTTAATTCAGCCATAACAAGCCCAAGATGGTATATGATGTCCTTGCCTGCTGACATATAGAGCAGTACATGACATTTTCTCTGCAGTGAGCTGTCAACAGCTCCAACTTGAGCTCTTGGATTGACACTAACTGGATATACGTGAAGGCCGGAAACTCACAGTTGTTTGAATCCAATGTTGACAATCTTCTTTGGTCTTCAAGAGCAAAGATGACAGTACTGCAGAAAATTACTTTATTTAGAGTAATGAACCACCTTATTGAAAGAGAGAGACCTCTCAGGACTATTTTTTCATGTTGTGTTTCTAAAATGTTAACAATGTGAAGTGTAGAGTCGTATGTGTTTGCTTTTTGCACAATGTATCCCTTGCATAAGTCACTTCTACGATGGATTGTGATAAATCACATATGACAGGTCAGTTTAATTTCCTCAAAAGACTGTTGGAAAACCTGTGACTGCACATTATTGCAAATGAAAATGTATGTTGATTGTGGCATATTAGAGGGCATACTAGACACGTCATTTGAATCACGCCCTGCATCCTTGAAAATAAAGCAACGTGGTGATACTTTTAAGCATGCAGTTGCTACATAAAAAAGGTTTATAGTGCGATTGAAAATGTTGCACACAAATAGAACAAGATTCTTCACCAGTTTTATTTTTTTTCCCACATCATTTTTACCTTCTATCATCCTGCTGATCAAGTTATCACAATAGTCTGTGTGACTATCTCACGTATTTCACACATCTTGAAGTTTGGATGATTCATCAGCAGTCTTAAATAAAATGTAGAGCCATTTCACTGTGCATGTTTTAGATGTCTGCTTGCTCAGCAGAAATGATTTCAAATGATGCATCTTCAAAAGGCTACTGCAGAACTAGCACTGTTTTCAAAGTCACATGTCAAACACTATATTTTGCAATATACTATATGGTGAGCTCTCTTTTTGTTCCAGTGTATAAAATCTCAACTTTGACATCTTACCAACTGTATAGTGTGCCAGAAAATTGCTATACAGTACAGCAATTATTTTGTACAGTGATTTTCGATCCATTAATCAATTGTTTTCCACAGATAACTGCAACAAATCTTGGAGGGAACCCCAGAGGGAACATCTATCTCCCCAATGACATCAGCATCCAGCCCATTCAGGGTGATCTCAGTGCGTTCCTAAACTATAGACCCTCCAGCTTGCCAAAGCTAATTTGGTTCCATGTCAAATGACTTCTATGCCAATTTGACCCTGTATGTTGTCACATAGTCAGAAACAAACAAAAATCATTTAAAGGTTTTTCTTTTTTTTTTGTAAATTAAGGAGATAAATAATAAATCGACCAAATTATCTTATCTCCATTCTGATTTCCGAAACAGCATTTTCCCATGCTGGTCCACTGATTGTGGTGTATATACAGCAGGATTTGCACTGCTAATAGATCTGCAACTTAGCACAAAACAGTAATTCAAGGTGAAATTTCTCCACAGCTGCCACAGGCACAGAAAGCTAAGGTGGCCCCTATTCTCGGTGCAGGTACGTATGGATAATAATATGGAAGTGGACTGATGGCCTCAGCAAACAGAAGGAGAAGGCTATTTACATTGCACAGCCAGCGTAAAAGTGGGTTTGTTCACTTCCCTGGAAATATTGGGGTCACACTGGCCTTAAGGAACAGCAGTGCTCTGCAGAGGAGTCAGAGGTGCAGATTCATTAAAAATACATTTGTGACAGTGGAGTAACAAATAGCTGTGCTTGTGCTCTGGTCCTTTACTCCCTCCCCATGGTCATTCATCATGTGCACTCATCGAACTACCAGCCTCATGTTGGCGGTTCATTATTCTCCCCTTCTCTAAGTTTCTCCTTCCTCACCCACTGTGTGCAGGGGCAGAAACAAAAACCATGAAAGCTGTTTCACTTCTCAGAAAGATTTATTTTGAAAGGCATTCACAGTGCATGGCTCTCATTTCTGTAACAGCTGGACAAAAACTGCCCAATTCTCTTTGAAAAACAGGTAGTGAACGAGACACTGCCCAGACACTGATGAGAAAGAAAAAAGAAACAAAAGTAGTAGAGAATAATAAGAATATGAGAGGGAAATAAAAGTTTAATGAGCTGCATGCAAAAATGGGTCACTGAAAGCATAAAAGTAAAGCACTGAAATGAATACAATTAAAATAAATACAGCAAATTAAGAATAAATTGCAACTGCTATATAATTATAATGGCAATATAAATATGGTGAATACAGAACTCTAATTACCCTTATAATTTTCTGGCTGGTGATAGATGTATTTTTAGATCTTTTTATATTTTATCAGTTAAATTAATCTTTTATATACTATAAAATAATAAGATCTATTCCGGAAAGGGTTTTTCTGGGTTCTGAATCACAGTTATCATCATACCCGTGTTTAGTGTCTTGTGGGTCGTTAAAAAAGGCAGTGAATTCAGTGGTAACAGCTCACAGTACAAATAGTATAACGTCTTTAAAAATCAGTTTGCACAAATTGTTATATTAAGAGACAACATCCAATTCCCTACTGGTATAGTAAAACAGTTTTCTCAGCAGAAGCTTGTTTTCCTGCATGGGGCCAGGTAAGTTCCTATTGGCTCTTTTTCTCAGACCAAAATTAAAAAGCGAGGCCAATACATTAATGAGTTGTTGCTACATTTTCAAAGAGCAATTTCTTGTTTGCGTGTTAAAATACCATCACTGGCCAATTCATTAGGCACACCTTACTAGCATCTGGTTGGGTCTTCTTTTCCTAATTGCCTAAAATATTTGCAATTTAAATTCAACAAGGTATTGGAAACAAGGTATTGGAGATTTTTGTCCATGATAGTGTCACAAGTGAAGCTGTTGTTTTTGCCGCATGCCCATCATATCCAACAGGGACTCTGAGAGTGTGGAAACCAATACAGTCCAAAAATCTCATTGTTGTGTTCAAGAAAAGCTTTGATAGGCTATAAGTCTGTTTCTTTTTGTTTGCTTTGCTTCTTCTTCTTTGTTAACAAATGAAACCAATCTGTTCCTTCTAAATAGGGGGAAAGCTGTTGACCTCCCTCTTCCCTGGAAATTGAAGACTGAAGAGTTAGTTTGAATCAATTTTGATGTCATTATTGCTGATGGCAGATGACCAAGTGTATGGTGTGAAAAAGGTCAAGGGTTGGATGTGTCTTCTTTGGGAACTCAAGATGCTTGAGGCATAAAAATTTAATCAATAAATCACATGTGAACATTCCCATCTCTCCCCCATCTTTGTGAGCTCTAAGCAAGACTGCTTCTTGTGATAAACCCACAGTCGAAAAAGGTGTGATTTTGTCACTCTGTATATCAAAATCTTATAATCTGCTCAAAATATTCTTCTTTCTTTGACCTTGAAACAATTTAAAAACATTTAAAAAGAAAAATGGCAGCCAGGTTGTATAAATCTTGGAGCTGCTGTTATTGTTGCATTTTCACAATTGCATCATTTCTGGCTACACTTTCAAATGTTTCTAAAAATCTTTTGCCATATTTGGATTCATGAGGAGCATACATTTATTCATAATATTTAAATATGCAGCAGTATCTTAGGAGTTTCATGCTTTACTTGCTTTTTTTTTTTTTTTACCAAGTTCTTGTTATTTTTGAATCAAAAACAGCAGCAGATCAGACAGTAGTGTCACAATTGAAGCTGCAGAGCAGACGAGAGAATAGGGGCCATAAATTGTGAATTAGACCGAAATCCTGATTGTTGTTCAGTTTGAAAATAATGAAGTAAAAGAATATGACAAGCAACTTGGGGAAAACTGTCTATAAGGTGAACAATTATTTACTGTTAAAGTGTCGCAGCCAAGCCACTTGGTTCATATGTGGTAGATTTTCTTTCAGAACACCGGAAATTTAGGGATATATAAAAATTACATTAAGAGATGCGTGTCCTAGTTGTGTGTAGAAAGTTGGCACACCTGAAGCCAATTCCATCATTCTCTCAACCCTCTCCAGAGATCATCATCACTAATGCAGTAACAAAGCTGACAAATTGAGTTCCTATTGCTGCACTGAGTGAATGTGTCCTTGACTCAGAGGAATCACAAGTGTGAGCCTGAGGAGGTGTCAGAGCTGTGCACATATGCATGCATGCTCAGGAGACGCAGCCCAGCAGCTCCTTATTAATCAACAGCTTGTTGAGCTGCTGCCTGTACCTTCGCTCCCCCCGGTTCCCTCACCGCTCCTGTCCACCTTCAACCCCCGCCTTCTCACTTCAGCGCTGCCTCAGAGCCACGGCATCGATCTTTGCACAAATGAGTCATTAACATTGGCTGCCTATTAATTACACAATAGAAAAGAGAGGAACTCAAATGGCCTCCTGCATTGTAGTTGTTTCGAAGGAAAGATAGCAATAATTCCTTTACAGGTAATTGTAATCGCGGTCCTTCTGATAGCATCAGATTAAACATCCAGTAAAAGCTGCGCCATCAACTGTTATATTTGTTGATGCTTGTAGAATATTCTGGCTGTGATGGGAATATTAGTTACATCTTGATAAAATAGAAAATAAGAAATGTACGTTTTTCAAATTGTAGATGAAGACTGGAGGCTGTTATTAAAGCAACTATGCTAAACGAGACTACTATTTTTCTTTCACACATTTTTGACATCTGAGGAAGTTTTGTAGCTTTACTTTAATGCAGGTGAGTTAGTAAGTGTAAGACAGAAGGAGAGCAAAGAGTGTGTTTGTTACTTTGTCCTCCATTCATGCTTCCCCCAGAGGTCTGGGGAAGCAGAGCAATTTACAAACAGGTGACAAGATTCTTACCCATAAACCCATAGAGTTTCTAAACCTTGTACAGAAAATCAGGAAAAAAAATCTTTAGGGTAACATTACAGTCGATGGACACTGTATCTTGTAATGCATTGAGGAATTCTTACTTTTTTTTTAGAGGTGTGATGAACGTGAACTTATATCGTTAGTAAAATTTTCACATTCAAATTCTGTTAACAATAAATTCATGCTTCTTATAATTCCCCTCAGTATCGCCATTATTTCCATGCCAGCTGTGTCAGCCTCAGAATAGCTTTAAAAAGAAAATTACTTCAGAGTGAAGGTGTTCTGGTTCTCCTAGGAGACAGAATGTGAAAAGCATTTACCACAACAAAAACACACCGATAAATGTGCTGTCTGGCAGTATAAATAAAAAGGCAAACAACAAAAATGTTTCTGAGAGCAGAAGGGTAAGGGGAAACAGATATGCGACAAAGGAAGAAAAAAATGAAACAAGCATTTGCCAAGATGTAACTCGCTTCAGTAGCAAACTGCAAACTGTGACTAAACTCCAAACAGAGATCTAAATCACAGCTGCTGAAAATTCATTTGAGACTATATTGTACTTCGTTATTCAACTTTTAAAAGAAAATGGCTAAATTGTTTTATTTTGAGAACTCAAAAACTAACAAAAACAATGTGATCAACGTTCGACAAAATATTCAGTCAGAGAACAGATACAGATAAAAAAAAAATCATGGTGCAATAAATTAACTGTGTGTTACAAAACAAAATGTTGAAGAATCCAGCAGGTACAGATTGTTCAGATTGCTCTGTAAATAGTATACTAAACATTGCCATGTTGTAAAATGAACCAGGTCCTTAAAGATTTCTTCTGTTTTTCTCTCATCGTAACACTTATTTTGATTTCATTTAAGAAAAATTTTATCCAAATAAACTTTGCTCAAATTGTATGCAAACCTTAAGTAGGCTGAAAGATTTCAAAGAATATTGCTGACATCAATCTGTACTGCAATAAACCCATTTTTAAGGTTTCATAAAGCCACATCCAACCACATCAAAAGCAGTGATCCACAAATTGAGAAAACAGGAACAACACTGTTTGGAACAGTGTTGAGCTTTTCCCTCATGGCTGCTCTACTAAAGTTATTTCAAGGGTTCATCAGTTTCTCACCCATGCAGCATAAAAATAACCAAGAACATTTAAAGTGCTGCTGTCATCTGCCTCAGTTGAGGTCATTGCCTATCAATACATTACTTTATTTCACATAATGTTTCATGATTTAAAACATGGAGGGTGACAGGCAAAACAGAAGAAATGTTTAACATTTTTTCACAGGGGTAAAACTGCATGTAGAAGTAAAGAAGTGAGATAACTATTTGTGTTCTCAGATACAGTTGAAATGTTGTGGTAAAATGTATTTTCACACAGATACTGCAGTTACTTTAGACAGACATGTTAAAAAAGGTTTGACCCAGTTTAGCTGAGCACTGACAGTTTCACACACCTAAAACATGATCAGCAGAGTTACATCCCCATTCTGAGGCATACCTCAGGTTGGCAACAAAAAAAACCTCTGACAGATATAAAAACTGAAAGAAAAACAAAAATCTGATCAACAGTACATAAAACACACTTTGAATGAAAAAAAAAAATTCTTGAACATGAGTCTATATGACACCATTTATTATTTGTGGGCAAATTCACATAGTAATTGGTATTCTAAGATGAAGTGCCATTTTATGACAGCATTTTGAAAGCAGGTTAGAAACCCTTCACTTTAAAAAGAATAAGTGAAAGATCAACAAGACTGTTATCGAGTCAGCGTGGTGTTTAAAATTGATAATTGTGTTCGAACCATCACACCAATGATATTTGGTCATTTTTACATGATGTGTTTATAAGAAAACACATAATGGTGCATTTTCTTATTAGCTAAACATATACAAAACTGTACCCATCTGTGAAGAGACTAATATCTCATCTATATGAAAACTTATTTCAATTCAGTATTGACTATCAAGTCTTGAATGTACATTTTAAAAAATCCAAAGAAGTGTCTGTAAGCCTATGTATGTTTTGTTTTTTTACATGTTTTCATGCATCAGAAAAGTTTTGACTGCACATCAAAAACTTACTTATTTATAAAAGAATGAGAAACCTGCGTCTAAGCATCACTGTAAACCATTGCTTGTTGTTCGATTGTATTCTTCTGTGACACTGAAGTAGAAATCTTTCAGAACCTCAGCTTAAAATGTAATGTCATATATTTCACTATAAAACCCAAACAGATTGTTTCAGTTGTCTTCGCTGAGTGACCTCACGATACTATTTCAAATTGATTTTAAAGGACTTTATAACTGCATTTAAAAAGTGAGAAACAAAACCAGACTGCATTTTTAATAATGTACTTTTCTCAATAAGTGCGGACTCCTGGTTTAGAGTCCTTTGCCTGGTTGAAGGAATTTGTTTCACTTGAAGGTTCATCCTGCTGGTCGATGGACTGATAGGCATCTCTATTTCGAGATACAGAAGGGAAACCTGCAGAGAAACATCAAAAACACAGACTTACATTATGAAATGCAGCATTTTAATCACACCTTGAAGCCATACAGCTTTATGAAAGCCATATATATTTATTCTACTTGTTTTTCCTCCATTACCCTGAAAAATCAAGCTGTCACAGGAATGTTAGTCAGGCACAGATTCATCCCATATTTTCAAGTTATCCCTCCTTTCAGAACTGTTTGATAAAATGTGTGTACTGCAGTTATTTTGAGAAAGGTAACCACTTCAGTAAGTTCTGGCTTGAGATTTTGTATTGTAGCAGTGCGTCTCTAGTAAGTCATATAATTTGGTTTTCAGTGGAAACAGCTTCACAGGTTCTTTATATCAGATGTTAACATGCTTTACAGTGACTTCTGGAAAGGCACACGATTTTATGTGACGCTTTGCAAGTGAAAGCATTAGCTCCACCATGGCCAGAATACCAATGATGTTACTTGTACATTTAAATGCTAATTAAATAAGAAGTTTTTTTTTTTTTTTTTTATTTCAGAGGAATAGTATGGAATAAGAAGACTGGACATGCATCTCATGTGAATAAAATATTTGTATATATATAAATTAGACCTTGGTTAACCTTAATTCTGTCCCATTTTAGAAACTGCAATGTCATTGTGCACTGATTAAATACACAAAGTACCCAGAGATAAATGAGGTATCTGGAGACTGGAATTTCAGATAAAAGATGCACAACATGCAAACTTGAATACACGATGAACAACAATTAAAAAAAATATAAATACAGCATGTAAACCACAAGGCATGCAAGTATGGGATGTTAATGAGGAGCTACTGATGATGAAAATTGATTGATCAGACTAGACTCACAGACATACATGACTACATAGTTAAGCACAAAAAGTCCAAATAGCAGTACTAAAATTAAAAAGAAATGCAACAATTAAACAAAAGGAAAACCCTGCACTTTTCTTTTGTGTCCTTGAGCAGGTGAGAAAAGACAAAAGATATTATATATATTGCAAAGAGTCTCAAAAATATAAACATTTTTGGAACTGTAAAGTCTCTTGTGTCCTGTCAGTCTATTAGTTATCTTACTTCTTGGGTGAAAGGATATGGAATAGGATGATTTGGAAAGAGAAATGGTAGAAAAGGAAGAAGCCTGGGCTCAGAAGCGACGGCCAAAAAAGGTACTGTCTGCACTGTCCGTTGTGCACCGACTGTCCACAGAGGTCTCTAAGTCTGAGAGGGAAGAAATTAGTGGCAAAAAGATGAGAGAGAAAACATAGATGATGAAAACATGTAAAAAAAAAACTGGTGTGACAGAGAAACAAATAACATGCAAGAAAACAAAACAGCCACATTCAGGCTGACAAACTACAAAATACATCTGAAGGAATTAAATTTACAAAGCTAGATGTAAGATTTTATCGATTTTTTCCCCCTCTAATTAGTCAGTGATGTTTGAAAAAGAATGCATGTTTCAACAGAGAGGTTATTGTTTTCTTTGTGCTTGACTGTTTTTTCTAGAGATAAAAAACCCCCAACATTTGCGTGTTTTAGCCAGTCGGAAATACAGCTAAAACCAAAAATCTGAGCTTCAATGTACTGCAAAGACAATGTACACATGAAGAACAAACTAGAAGATTAGATTAATTTGTAAAAAAAAATGGGTCATTGGAAGTAGATGCACATAAAGCTTCTCTGTATTTCAGTTCATTAAAAATAAATTGACTTAAGTGGTCTGTCTTGAAGTGCAAGTTAATAAATCTTCAAATTCCCTATTGGGGGAAAAAAAAAAAGAACAAGGACAGCATCTCCTCCCGCTTAATATAAGGATGAATTTATAATATTGGTGTACGTGAGAATGGCAGCAGTTTTTGTGGTTTTTAAATACTTCTTCAATTGGAGGATAGACATTTTATTTCACAGTGAGTTTCTGACTAAAGAATCAAAGCAGGACACTAAATATAATTTCAAAGCAAACAAGTCATTGGGTTCTTAAAATCTTGGAGACCGAAGTATGTCTAGAGAATTCAAAACCTAGAAAATCCATTCTAATCTGTCTGGAGCCGACCTGATGTTTCTAGTGTCTTAAATGCTACACAACAAGTGTGTTTGCTAAAAACATGATAGCTACAGAATGATCAAGGGACATCAGGCTTATTCTCACACAAAAACTCTATGACAGGAAATAACTTTGGTATGAGGAAAAAATATATCAAAACATCCATCTGCAGTACCCTCTCCAGACATTTAATCTTTGGAGGGTCAGAAGAGGTCTGGTGCCCATCTCCAACAGTTATTAGTTCAGAGGTGGGGCATACACATTGGACAGGTCACCAGTCCATCAGAGGGCAATGTAGACAAACACATAGACACACATCTACCAACTAGAGGCAGAGAATTAACATATTACTGGGAGAAAATCAAAGTACCTGCAGGGATGCACATGCAGGGAGAACATACAAGCTCCACAGAAAAAAAATAATAATCCAGCTGAGATGTTAACTCAGGCCCTTATTTCTCGATAGGGAACAAAACCTCGCAGTGTTGGCACCTGATAGATAACACATTTCAAAGGGAAGACCTTTCACAGGAGTACAATCCAAAGACAAATTAAGACATGTAATATTACCACAGCTCCCCAGTAAGCATAAGGACACTGAAATGAGTGATGTGAAGTCCAGACACATGCCTTTAGAAAATCAACATGCAATAAAACACATTTCACACAATCAGATCAGTTATTTCCAAGATTGAGCAGCTTACAATCTTTCCCCCCTGCAAGTAACATGAGATGCGTTTGCTCTGATTTTGTGCTGGCTGCTCTCTTTGATGGGAAGCAACAGCAGCAACCTGTTTCATAAACACAATGTAAAAATTAACCTGAAATTTATTTTAACAATTACTTTTAATTGCATCTGAGCAGCAAAAGCATTTAGTGTACAAGCTACTACATGTGTTCTTGATAATACCTTTCTAATCTCATTTATGTATTTATACAAAATAAAGAAAAAAGCAGAAACCTAAAAACTTATTACGACTGGTTATGCAAATGGAATCAACTTTTAAGAAATTCTCACTTTCAAAAGTTTAACAATATTGTTTTGGCACAAGGACTTTTTAAACTATTTGAAGCACCCAACCCCATGAGTCACTGTAATCCCATTTTGCAGCTCTTTTAGGCTGTAAACACAAAGCTCATTTTCGCTCATAAAAACATTCACACACTAATGACGCATTCATTATCTTGCTGAAATACTTTTTAGCACTCAATGGATAAAGCTGCTTTATACTTTCCTCAAACTGCCACCCCGCTTGCCTACACAGTTTATGTGTTTGGTCAGAGCAGAAAATGGACACTTTTATTGGACCGTCAGTTTGAGGCCAAATTAGTGACAGTTCAAATTTTTTGAATTTATTAAGAAATAAAAAGATGAACTTAATGTGCAATCAAAATTCAGAGATCGCCGGCAGCCCAATTCAGCAATCCATTTCCCATCACCCCATTGTCTGGTTTCCATCACGGTCAGTTGTGTAAAGCCCGCAATGCAATCAGACAGCAATTAAACTGCTCACTGTCAGAGTGTAACATTAGCTGCTTTCATCAGTCACAACAAAGTCTAATGAATGTTCCCTGCTGTGCAAAGTAAAACCATAAAGAGACCAGATTCATCAATATTCAATTATCTCTCCCAGAGCAAAGAGATATGTTTCATCAACTGCCGTTTTGAGTTGCATCGAAAAACAATTAGCGCCGCACAACCCCGACCTCCTGGTTTGTTCTTTTATTACCATTTTTTCTGTTCCACTTCTCATCAGGAAAAACATGAAAGCACTCCAGTCAGGAAAGATTAAATATTTTTAATAAATAAAACTACTAGACATATGTGAAATCCAAGGATTTTCATATCCATCGTGCCTTAGTGAGTTTTAAAATAAAACGGCTCATAGCTGAATGGTTTAGGCTAACAAATCAATGGCTCCAAGTAATGGATTTGAAAAATGTGTCTTCCGTCTCACCAGCAGTTACTCGTCCGTTTCTTTGTCAGAGAAAAGAAACTAATTAACTCAATACTCATAATGACAAATCTTTTTCTGTGAATCAGGACTGATCTATATATGTTCAGAATATAGACAGTTAATTTCACCCTCTGTGACGGCTTTAGCATGTTTGTCCATGAAGTACAATCCCATGTTAAAAGTGACTCAAATTTATGAGCAACTCGTGGGGAGGGGGCTTTTGGCCGAGTTGGCTACCTCAGTGCAAAGAAAAAAGGTCATGCGACTGTAACTAATAAGTAAGATGTGGAGTCATTTACTGGTTGTTTGAAACAAAGTTTTCCCAGAAAGAGCAGTTTTCAGTTGAACAGAGCAAAAGTAAATGGATAATAATAAAAAAAGTAAAATGGTGAATAAAAAAGGTAAATTGGTATTAGAAGAGTTGGAGTTGTTTAGAATTTGAACCAGTACAAAAATTCCAAATATGTTTAGAGGCATTTAAAATTCAGTTATTGTCAAATGGTTTCTCATTTTTTACTCTCAAAGGTCTGCAAGCTCATTCAGTCAGCATATTTAACTTTGGTTCTTACCAAAGTTGACGTTGTAATCTCCTCCTCGTTCACGGTACATTTGGTAGACAAAGAAACAAGTAACAGGTTTAAGCAGCAGGTTGAGGATAGCCATGCCTGCGGAAAAGCTCCTTTCGGCCACAAGCTCCATCCGTGGATAAAAGATCCCAAAATGGATAATGTCGGTCAGTATCGTGATAGCCATTCCCACAAGAAACTGGAACAACAGGATGAAAAAAATAGAGAACAGAACAGGTCAATGGAGTAGCTCTTCAAAAGTAAAGATCTCAAAATAACTGAAAACACAAAGCCAGTGTCATATTCTGATCTTAAGCAAATGAACACCAATATATATATATATGCGACTGGAAAGTAGTTCAGTAATTTGTAAACTAACAGAAGCATCTTGTTGTCTATTTTCTGAGCAACAGAGAGTTGGTATACACTCTGTCGAACTTTAAAACTGGGTGGCATGCTCTACTATCCAAGTCTTGGTGAATAAATTAAATATAAGTTTAATTCTTGATTAAATAAATAATAGCCTACCACTTTTTGTTGATTCTGAATGAAATCAGCTGAAATGGGGGAACCATTTGATGAACTATTAGCCTTCAACCACAGTAAAGAATGTTTTCACTTTTCTACAAACTCAGCAATCCTCACTTTAAATACAGAAAACCCGTAAAGTAGCATTTTAAAAGACAAGAAATTAATAACTGGGTCTCTGATTAAATAAATGACCTTGACTTTGCAGAATAAGGGCTCAGGTTAAAAGTTTCTTGCTCATCAGTTTTCCTTCTTAAAGATGCATTCAAGGTACAACTAGTTCCATTTCAGTTGCAAAAAAGTTTCAAAAGTTCTGCTAAGAGTTCACAGAATTAAAACTTTGCCATATTAAGAGGATAGAAAATCTTTTCTTGGTTTTAGTAACCTAAAACCCAATAGAGACAGACTTTGAATGTAGATTTGACCAATTAGATTCTCACATTTCAAAATTTATTTCTGATTCATTCACAGAGAAACACATTTTTACTTAGAACAGCTTAGGTAAAATAATGGAAAAAATATCCCTTTGTTAGAAAAGAAATATCTTCTGCTTGAACTTTTACTTACACCAATTCAGCTTAGTTTGTAGAATAAACACTGCATTTGTATCCAGTTCTCCAGAGACCAGAAGATAATTTTGTTTGGGAAAATGAAACATCTAATCATGCTTTAAGTTTAAAAATCTATAATTTATTTGTCCTTTTTGTTACATAATTGTCAAAAAACACCAGAGAAAGTGTATAATGTGAAGAGGCAACATACGGTATAAGGACAGTTACAACTTAGTTTGAAAAGAAAAACTAAATTAACAGTTCAACAAGAGAACATTAGAAGATATTCAAAGAATATTTTCTCCTTCAGTTGTATTGAATTGGAAATGATCAGACATTCAAAGACAAGGGAAGGATATATTTTTTAGAGAGATATTCACAGAACCCCTGAGCATCCACCGGTTAGTTTGGATATGTCGGGTCTATTGTTAGACTTCTGCATGTGTCACATGATAGTAAGACAACTTTTAGAAGAAGAAAAAATAGTCACCATGAGAACAGCATCAATGGAGTCCCTCTGTGCAATCGCCCACACTCCAACTGCTAAAACACTGAAGTTCCCCCATGCATAAGAGGAGGTAAAGAAGGTCATGGTGCCCCTGAAACAATAGACTATTTTTAAAATATATAAGTCACAAAAGATTATAATTTGACATACTCTCAGGGAGTTATTTATACACAAATAAGTGCGGTATGTGTAAAAGTTAGGCTAAGACAAAAGAGAATGTGTGCCTATGTGTGCTCAGACTAGAGAAATTCCTCAGATGTATGACAAAAAAAAAAAAAAAAAAAGAGCTCACACTCACCACACGGTGAGCAACCAGTGTGCCAGCACTATTGCCTGGAACAAAGAAGAACATCCTTAAGATTTTCACCTTTTTTAGGCTTTTGGCTTATTTCAAAAATATTTAATAAGGAAGAAAACAACACATTAATTGAGAATAAAAGAAAAATTACATGCAGGCTTTTTTCAGCTATGATAAGCAGGAAATTCCACAACTAAATGGGAAGTGTGTGATCAGTTGTATCTGAATGGATTCAGAAACATTGTTTTCCCATGTTTAATCATCTTGGACCAAATAAGAAAGAGATGATGAGATTAGAATTTCTGATCTTGAAAGCGTTATTTTTGTCATAGTTTTTTCTGTTATGACTTGTGCCAATGCTAAATACAAGGAAGTGACAAAAATTGACTACATATTTGCCAACTGTGAGAATCTATAATGCCTTTATCCTCAACACAATTCTTGTCTGTCTTAACAAAATTCCTGGCTCTGTGTTTCTTAATCAGGGGAAGTTGGTTAGAATTACCAAAGAGAACCGTGACACATAAAATTTAACGTTAGTCGTTGCTTAAAACTAGTCCAAACACAACCTTTGAGATTTTTTTTTAAATAAACCGTCGACAACAATTGACAAACTCACCTTTAAGTTTATTGCAGGGATATCCATAATAATGTTGAGTTTTTTTGTTTTGTTTTGTTTTTATCAAAAGCAGCACCTCCCCGCTTTATTGTTCAGTGTTTCAACTTGTTGAAAGGCCACATGAAAAATGCTGCAGTTGTTCCTCTTTCTAAAAGTTCTGTGCAAACTCCTCCTCCGCTTTAACTCAACTTACAAACACAAACCATGTGACAGCAGCCTGACTGCTTCCCATGTGATCTCCTCCCCTCTTCCTGTTCCTGCTGCTTCCACTACAGATCCCAGGAGAATCCACTTCAGTCACAGCTCCACTTGTGTCTCTTAAAGAGGTTTGCCATGATTGATCAGGAATCTAGCATGTCGGTTTCCCAATTAAAATGGCAAATAGGAACATGTATATTTCTTTGCTATGCAATGCTTTACATCACAATTTTTGACCTCAGAACATAGCAATATTCAAACTAAATATCTTTTAATTTTTATGGATACATTTATATATATGTATATATGTTTAAATCTTTTTTTTTCTTTTTGACAAAGTCTGGTGTAATCTTGTTGTTTAACTGCAGACTTGAAGGAAATTAAATGCAGAAAGCAAAACGCTGGAGGGGTGCTTATACCAAGGACTATAATCGTTGATGTGGTTCAGGTTTGCTAATTAGGTGATGAAACCTGGCGTGAAAGCAAATCAGGAACCAACTCAGCTGAATGTACCACGGTTCATATCTACAAAATGCAATAGAAAACAAAACTACTTTAATGGTTTATGCCAAACTGGCTTCTAAAATGCAGATAAATATTTTAACCTATTTATAGTGCAAAAAACATAAGTAAACTAAGCAAATGCTTTTTATTGAAATTTGAAGCTACAAATCAACAGCAAGTGGCACATTTGTGGGTAAGGAAAGGAAAAGATGGTTTTAAACATTCCCCAAGGTCAAACACATATTTCTAGACGCAAACAATTCTGAAGCTGAATCATCAAAATATTGATATTACAAATAACTTTTTGAAATGCCATAAGTGATAATATATATTCCTAGTGTCATGAGTTGACATTTTGCATATCATATATAGCTTGTTGGATCATGCCTCTTTGTCACCTGACATAAATGAAAGCACAAAATGTGCTAAAGGTCACAAAGAAATTGAAGAACAGATGAGAAAGACAGGAAGGAAACATGGATTTATTGCAACTGCTTTTGCCATTTCAACATTTATAACATATCCTTGAATGATAATCATTTGTAACATTTGTAACCCTGGAAAATACTTCAGTCTAAATCATTCCATTGTGACTCTGGCTGTACTATATTAAGTGTCGTGTTTAGATGGAAATCTTTCTCTCTGGTCTCAACTAAATTTCTACCTCTTCAAGCTTTTCTGATAGGAGTACCCTGTGCTCATCTGCATCCATCTTCCATTAATTTTGTCCCTGTTGAACAAAACACGATGGTCCGAGTTTTAGGAGTGACAAACAAATAGTTATCCAGTCAGCAAAATCTCCCACTTGATTGAAGAATCTCCGCAACTCATCCAGAGTTATATAGAGTCTCGTGGTTGCTGGTTAATTGCATAGATTAACAACCATGTGTTGGTAGGCTTGTAGGCTTGCCATAGTCTTTCCACTTTTGTATGATGAACTGATCAATGTTCGTGAGTTATTTAAATCTTAGGAAATTGGTTTCCCAACATAACTATTCTTTAAGTTTCAACACAGCTGATCTTTTTGCCGTTCTTTGATCTTCTTGCTGTTTGTTCTTTCATAAATCTTAATACATTATCATGCCACACTTTTCACACGATGTACTGCATATTTAAAGAAAATAAAAATCATGCATTATTCCCCTTGTTTTTTACAATTACCAAAGGGATGAATAATGATCATGCTAGATGAACAGTCAAATAATTATCTCCATCTCTTAGATGGACAAATGAGTGAACCAAAAGTCCATTGTTGAGTCTAGAAAATAATTGTATGGTTTTCAAACAAAATGATAAAGTCAGAACCTGCATTTTAAAAATCATCCCAAAATTAACCTATTAGCAATCTTAAGATGGTAGGGTATTCTGGTTTGAAATATTGTTGGACAAAAAGTCACATATATCAACATAAAGTCCTAAATTACATTAAAATAATTCAATATTTTGTTTTAGAAGAGTAAATGCAAATTAACATCAAGTTTTTTATTTTCTTGATAAAACTGATGATTCTTTTCTAATAGTCATTGCCAGAATCTGAAGAAGTTGCCAGAATTCAGGTCTGTATATAACCTGCTATGGAGTTTGAATTGATATAAAATGTACTCTTCACCGCTTTCATTAAAACATCAAATCCTTTGTGAGCAACCTTTTTCATCTTCAGATTTTAGCAGGCTCTCACAAGTGCTGCTCTGAAACAGGATATACTCTGGCTCTCTGTGTTTTCATCATAGTGTTTTACTGGGATGTATTCACTCAACACACCCACTGCATTATTTAAAGTGTTATGCTAAAATCATGCTAAAGTTAGATTAATGGAGCAGCAGCATCTGTAAGTAGACATAAATCGGGTTTTAAAGCATCTCTAAAAAGGTTCATTCCTTAGGAGTAAAAGTCTGCAGTGACAATAGAAATAGTTTCTTCAACTATGAAAAAGTGAAGTTCAAATTAAATTGGTTTTGTAAAGCCAAACACACCATAATTGATTTTTGTTTCCAGATTTTTATTTTTCCTGTTAGATAAAGACCAGCCATGAATATTCAAAGGGTTTTCATCTCCTGAAGGACAGCGACAATACTTCATTCTGTGAGCTAAATTATATTATGGCTGCTTATCCCTGCTGAAAATAAGCAATGTATATTAGTTTAAACTTTAATATTCTCTAATACTGCACTGCCAACAAAGTATGCATCTGTGTAACTGTCATATTTTTAAATAAATTGCCACATAGTAATATGCAAACTGTAGCATTTTCCCTTTTAACTGCTAATTGATGGAAATGATCAACCCTGAACCCTAACATAAATGATGTGGGCATCAGCAGCAGGCCTTTAAAATGCTAATGTAATATGCACTTCTGCTGACCTTTTTCTGTAGTTTTAATCAGTCCTCATCCTGCCGCCTCTGCCCTGTTTACCTAAACAAAGTTGATCTTTTGTGTGCAGCAAGCAAGGCAGATGGTCCCTGCACCGTCCTTTGTGACCCCGGGGCCCGAGTCACCTCTGAAACCATGTGACACCTCATAACTCTTTTGTTGCTGACCACAACAAAAGAGTTGTGGACATTTCTGGTAAAATTAACTTACATGTGAAATTACATATAAGATTTAACTTGTGCTGAATGTCTGACGCCTTTTTTCTTGAGTTTTAAAGTGTAATGTTGGAACAGAGGATATTTTACTCATGCAAAATTTATAATGTTATTCATATTTTTTACTTGATTTGTTACCCTTGCTAAAAAAAAATGAAGGTGAAAATGAAAAGTTTTATGTTGAATACATTTTTTACTATTTCACCTCAAGGTTATCACCTTGAGCTGCGAATCAATGGTTTAAATAACTACATTTCAAATATGATTAAAAGTTTGTCTACTGCAGATTAAGACTGCAGATAATTACACCGCCAAGCTTTACTTAAAAATCTCTTTACATCTTGAATTTATGCCAATAATTTGACTGTTATGTTTGAGGTCACTGTATGCTTCAAGTCTATCGTTTTCTGACTCAATTTTTTAAACAACATAGCGCCCAACATAAGTATGACTTCTAAATGAAAATGTTTTACATTTCGTCAGCATTTCATTTTTCTTGTCATTGATTTGTTCAAAGTAACATATTTCTGGAATGTGGAAATGAAATGGTATGGTACACGACTATCAATAATTTTAAACCCCTAAATAAAATCCTGTGAAAACCAACTGGCTTCAAAAGGAATAAACTCGTTAACATGACATATATTTGCAATCCACAATTCTCCCCTGCATGAAGATTTTGAAAAACATAGAAATAGCCATCAAAGCGATGTGCAATCTTAGCAGTAGTACTTCAGTTCAATTAGGTAATGAGAACTTTTGAAATATGAAAATCCAGATTTGTATTTTACAATTTGCATATGCAGCTGATACTGAATGAATTCTGTGCAGGAGCAACTTTTTTTTAAATCCAATGTCATTACATAGGAAAAGATGCATTACACACAGTTCCTTTGCAACTGTTTAATCATGAAAGGCGAACAACTGAAATTATAGACAAATATATGCAAATACAGAATAAATACAAAACAAATATTAGGACATGGATGACATTAGACTGAAAAGTAAAACGGTATCATTGTTTATTCAAGTACCATTAGGAAACCTCGAGCTGTGGCATCATTTTTAAGAATATTCTTGGGATTTAGATCAGCCTTATACTCGTATATTAGACCAATTGAAATAGTATTCATGACCAACATAGTGAACCTGCGCAACATGGTGGCCACAAGCTAAACGTAAAAAAAACTAAATAAATAAAATCATTCCAGATTTTTAAAACATATTCTAGTGAGTGATTGGGTTTAAAGTAATCAACTTGCAGATATTAAACTCTAAATAAATTAAACCAGGATTATAAAAATATTTCAAGAGGTAAGTCAATTGGATTTTGTATAGGATTGTTGCTAAAATTAAAAACAAACAAAAATTTTGCATGACAGACAACATCAAAGTCAATCAACATCTAAAAACTGTGACAATTACTAATTTAACTTGGTGAATCAGATTGAATTTGATCAATCAAATAACATGAAAACAGCAACACATTTTCAAACAACCAGTGGGCTTGGTACATTTTGCAAAGAGTCTTGTTGTAGAAACCTTTTTAAAATAATTTATTAGAGTAAAACCAGGTGCTTGAAGATGCTGACTTGTGGGGACATGGCACACAGATTATCCCATAATGAAACATTAAAGGATTTTTAATTAGCTGCAACTTTGACATAATGGCCCAGATATTTTTGTCCAATCAGCTAACATTTGCAGATTTATTTGATGAAAAAAAAACACAGCAAGGGATCACCTTTAAGCACTTAGTTCTTTAGAAGTGTCATGGCTGTCCTGTTGTATTGATGTAGTCACAAGTTTCTTCTCCATGCTTATTCCTCTCTCCTCTTCATATGGTGATAAAGCCTCCGTGGTCGTTGCTGACTGAGTCTGGGACGACGCACCGGCCCTTCCTCCTGGTCACACGTCTCTTCCGATGAAATTTAGCATAACAACGAAATCCTGA